TCAAAATATTGGCCAAAACTCGAAAATCAAAACGGGCTACAGATTTCCGAGTAAGAAACAACATGGGCCAGATATTTTACCCCACTACTGAGATCCAAAGAATTAGTGAGAGGAAAGATAGACAGTAAACAAGACTGAACGAAAGAAAATTCCTAATGATGAAAAATAATGCACCAGAAGGAGTAAGCTTCACTAGAAGAAGTAAGCTTCAAACTAAGCAAACATCCCCTTTTCTTAAGAGAAATAGTATAAGTTAGAACATTTTATTAGTGAAGGTAGAGAAGGATCAGAAGCGTAGATGAAATCACCCGAAAGAGCAATTTACAGAATTAGGAAAGCAAATCTGAATTAACGGAGTCACTGAGAAGGGGTTGCAAAGTTTCCAAATTTCTTTTTGATAAGAGGTCCAAAGAACAACAGCTTAAGGAAACAGCTTAAGGAACAACAGCTCAAGGAATTTAATCATCCTAGCGAAAGGGACTTAAAAGAGTATCAGGAGTTCATTCTTTTCTTCCTCTATTTCCACAGATGGAAGTGACATGGGAAGTACACATCAGTCTGACTCTAACACTGTGAATAGAGATATGAATTTAATTTTTTTTTTTTTTTTTTTAGGGGGGGGGGGGGGGGGGGTTATTCTAGGCCACTTTTGAGTCAAACACGTGAATCCGGATTAGAGAGGATCAAAAGTCTGACTTGGAATGAAGGATATATAAAGCCTTCGGAAAGCTTTTTTTAAATCGTTAAATCCTTTGGAAAGTTTTAGGGCATCGACATAGAAAATGAGGAGAGAACTAGAGGCTATTCTGTAAAACTAAACGTAGGAAGATGAAGGCAGAAAGAAAGCAATCAAGCTAAAATTTAATATCTAATTGAGAAGAATGGGAACAAACATAAATTATAACTATTGAGTGGTTTGCTCATGAAGGCCTTACCAGTTTTTTGCCTCTTTTCTGTTTTTTGTTATCATTTGTCCAAGAGTCTTGGATTCAAATATTCAAACAGTATTTCTTGCTATCGAATCAAAAAAACAATATGGAAATAAATTGTGTCCAATAGGATTTACCTGTGTGTACCAGCTTGGTGCTTTTTGTATTAAAAGATTAAATCACATTGACTCTAATAAAAATATATCACCAGGTCCAATTGGTTGGTAGCTTTCTGAAGCATAAATGAGATACTAAAGTCAGCACATAATATAATGAGAAAGGCTCACGCCAATCCACTTGCTTCCCTCCAGGAATTCAATCTCAAAGGCTTCAGACTTGGAATAAGATGTATACGTGGTAAATATATAAATTTCATTTTGAGAAAAAGGTGCATCCATAAAGTTAGAGTTATGGTGATGGCCAATAGATAGAAAATGGTAATTAGACCTCTCAATTGAAATGTCAAAATGCCTTCTCATTGGGAGAAAGATTTTAAATGAGCATTTCTAGTACATGAAATAATGAAAGTTAACAGGGAACTTTGGTTCAACGGAAGAGGTAGCACAACACATAACGTGGAGCAGGTGTACATCACGAGTTCAAATGCTGGCTAGTGAACCAAGTATTTTTTTATTTAAGTGGAGAATGACATAGGGAGACCCATTTTCCATCGTGTTTTGAAGCTAGAAATATTGGAAATCTCCCCATTATCAAGAAATAATGATCACCACAGTTGAGAGTTTCTCCTTTATTTACTAAAAAGCGTAGGGGTTATGTTGCCCGGTCTCTCCGAAAATGTCGATAAGTGCATGTCAGATCCTCCAAAAAGTAATGCATTTCTGGAGGATCAGACACATGTGCGGCACTGTTTTGGATAGTACGTGCAACATAGCATGGGGGTTAGCTTTTAGGATTCAATTTAGTGCAGATTTGAGGTTGATTTTGGCGGAATTTATGGATTTAAATCATCAATGATGGTTAATATCATATGGAAGCTTTAAGCGTAAATGGGCCGGAACAAAATGAATAGCAAGTAGTATCATCTGAAAAGAAGGAAAAGATGAACCCTACGAATCAGAACTAGATCCGATAGGCATTACACCATGACATTAGAAAGTTAGAATTGCAGTACACAATTCAAAACAAAGCATAGTTGCTGAAGGAGTGATCTCCAATGATCAAAAAGCATTAAACTGGTAAACACGCACCACACTACCTAATCCACCTGAAAAGGATTTCAGAACATAAGTGAAGCCAACTACCTATAGTGTTTTTACTTTACCTTCCAACCTTCCAGAACCAAAATTACCCTTGCATATAAACTTTTCTTCCTAGGTACTAGAGCAATCTTCGCACAAGAGTAGAATATTCCAGTAAAACCTCACAAAATATTCCAGAAAAATAGATAACCTTGATAAAATAGAAAATAATCACTACTTTAAACTAATTATGTAAGCTGCCGAACATCTTGTCTTCAATAAACTAGTTCTGAAAATGGTGCTTGAACCTTAGACTACCCACGTTATCTAACCTAATCTGTTATTTCTCATTCATTTTCTTGTGTGCAAGGTTTGAGATCCAAAAAGTCAAATGTAAGTCATACTCTTCCTAATTGCATTTTTGTTTTGGTCCACTTGGAAAGAGAGCAACAACAGATGCTTTGAAGACGTTAAAGTGCATATAGTGTAATTGGGTGCATTAGGCCTTTATATTGTAGTGTAAGGCTCGTATCCTAAAGAAGTCAAAGACATTTGGAGCTTTTCGAACTTCTTTCATCGCACTGACTAATCTTGAATTTGGCTCACATTGCTTTATTTTCCCCCTCTTGTCACTATGTATGTGCATGTGTGTGGATTCGTACATCATTAGTCCATCTCATTCCCAATATTGTCTATAGTTTATGCAACATCTTGGAGCCTGCCACTTGGTTTAAAATATTATTTTTTATAAGGTAATAATTTACTAACCGAGTACCAAGATGGTACCAAAAAGTTACACAAGACTGCTGGGCATATCCATATAGTCAGTTAGAACATCTCCCTAGCTACTCCAGAAAATCCATATATGGGTCTATATTATCAATGAAGCTACTTTTACACCAAAGAAAAAAATTCTGACACTTGCTTTTTCCTCTGAAGATATGGCCTTTTTGCCCATCAAAACAAGCACTTAGTTTTTAATTTTTTTATTTTTACTTTACCAATCACCCAAGAAAGGGAAAAAAGAATACTCGTCCAGCACCTTTTACAAACTTTAAAAGACTTCTGTCACCAAATCTCGTCGCGATAGGTTAAAGCGACAACAAGGAGATCTCTATGGATGGAAACAGCAAAGGGTGCATGATTTATCAAAGTTCATGGGCAAATTCCCTGGTCCTATTTTATTCAATAGTTCAGGTTGTTAACTTTAAGATAGCTCTTCTGGATAATTTGGCTTGGAGATATAACATGGAAGAAGCCAGATAGTGACACTAAGTGATCACCTGCTGATATGAAGCAGATATCAAAGATGGATCAGTGCTGTTGGCACTGATATTAAAAAAAAAAGGACGGGTTAATGGTGCCTCCGCTGGTACAATGAGACAATTTTTTTTAAAGAATTACGACATGGAGACAACTTGAAAGCAATGAATATAGCACTGACAAGATTTCTTTTTAATGAAAGATTATATGCTGCTATAATATGGATTCTGGGACTGAAGGACCACATTTCTTTTAAGAGTAAGCTAAAAATAGAGTAGAGAATTCTATGGCAGTCCAGCTTTTTTGAGAGATTACTCGAGTGTTCGCAGACACCTTCTAATTGTAGAATACACGATTCAGTGCAAATCTGTCTAGGAAGCAGAGGACAACATATTTTGAGGCTACCATGGACAAATGGTTCTTTCAAGGTTATATCTTTGTGGAGCAGATAGATTGGATATATCGAGTATGGGAATAAGAGGAGACAAACGGAGGAAGAACATGCACATGTGAAGTAAGGAGCATCATTGGCATGTGGTAGCCCTCGATGGAAACAGGTTAGAGACAAAGATGAGAACTGAGAAGCATGCTAATAGATGCAAGCATTTCACGAGAACGGCAATTCGGTGAATCATTTTGAAGTTCAGTTTGCTTCTTAAATGGAAATAATAAAAGAGGGTTGACAAGCATCCATTCATAAGCACGGCAAAAATGAAGCCAAAATTATCTGAGCTGGGCTCACAAATTTGTTGAGTAAAAGACACGATCACCAAACAGAATAATTTTCTTCTAATTAAGACACTACCAAAGCCGACCCCTATAAATTAGGATTAAGACATAGATGATATATTGATTATTGAGAGCCATAACCAAACAGATTAATGAGTAAATGAACACGATATGCACGTGCAAGAACGACATTAGCCTACTTATACGAACTTACAAGTCATAATGTGGTAAAGTTTGCCGCTCTAGATACAGTGTAGGCAACCAATTTTACTCGCTACAACAACAACAACTATGCCTCCGTCCCAAACAAGTTGCCAATATGAACCAATTTCATTCACTAAAGGTATTATTTTCAAAAATATCAGCAAATAACCAAAAATAGTTAGATTCTACATTAGTAAAATTCCTTTTGAGTAAAAAGATAAAAAATTTCTTTATTAGTAAGTAAAAAAATTATTAGATCCACATTAGGTTAAGCAATATAACATAAGATTAGGGGCATGCATTCTGCTTCAGAAACAATTCAGGAAGGACACATCACACGAATTAAGCAATGTATTCATAGCTTAATAAGCGCAACCAGCCATCAATCAGTTGGTACAAAAATTACTCGACAAGAGATGAGACTCTCTTTTTCCACTAGCAGATTTCCCCTAGTAATCATACTCAGGCTAACTAAATAACAAGTAGTACTACATACTCCTTGTTTAATCGGTAATAACAAGTAGCAGTACTATATATTCTAGGGCAGGATAAGTTTCAACCTACCTATTCGGAGAGACACAGACATATAAAGCTTAGAAATATGATTCTGGTAAATGTGTAAAATGTAAAGACATAAATGTGTGAAACACAAAGTAGTAAAGAATAAAAAGCAAACCTTTTGATGGCATAATTGCAAGCCTTGTAGAGCTTCTGCTTGGAATCCGACAATATATGCATATGACAAAACCTCGTAAGTGCCATTGCCTTCGACTTGCAGCCATGAACCCCACACGTATTGCTATTAACTGCATTATTACCATTGTTGTTCTCTCCAGTTCCGCCTAGAGTGCCGCCATCCTTAGTCTTATCCTCGTCTTCTTGAAAAGCGCTCGTTCCATACTTCCAGCAATACTCCCTGTGCTTAAGCTTCACTTCTTCCATTAACGCCCAGTAACAGTCTCTGTATATACGCTGTAGTTGCTTCGTCCGCCGATGCCGCCGTTTGAGAACTTCCAATTTATGCAAGTACTTGGACTTGCCCAAAATTGTGTCCTCCTCGCATCCGTCAATTTTGATCGGCGTTGAAGAGGAGGGACGGCCGGCGGAATTGGCGCCGGTCGAGTAATTCGGGTCGGGCATGTCGGAATCTACTACGGAAGAGAGACGGGAATTGGTTGCTCTGTTGAGATTGTTGGCGTTCTTTAGGTCAATTCTGTTAGGGTTAAGGTTGGGATTGGGGTTTCCTTGACGGTGATTGGTGGTGGAAGCGACGGCGACGGCAGTGGAGGCGGAGGCAGGGGCGGTGGCGGTGGACTGAGGGGTCGCAGGGGGCATCTTCTGTTGACCGTGGGGTTATGATTTTGACAGCTTGTGGTTGATTTTGCAATCAGTTCAACGAATTTAACTATCGAAGTGCATAAAAATACAGTACACGCCGCAAATAATTCTTTTTTAAAGGAAAAGGATTTTGTAATTTGAAAAGAAAAACAAAATTAATTATTTCAACTAATCAATATTTTATAATTCGATGAATTTAATAGTATGGAATCTACTTCAGTATTTCTTCCAATATGCCAATGTTAATATGACTTGGTGAATAACGTTTATACAGTGGGGAAAATAGGAAAAAGTCTTCATACACCTTAATTTTACAGCGGTTTATTATCCGCTTATTTTAATTTAAACTGAAATTAGCAATCCCTAATTGATGACGTGGGAGAAAAATTGCAAATATTTTCTTTGATGCGCATGAGAGGCTGATTAAAACAAATTTAATTGTCTGTGTGTCACTTTTTCTATGAACACTGTATATTAGTTACATCTAGTACTAAATTATTTTACTTTTGTTACGAAAATTTAGCTCAAAGTAATAATATAAAACAAGAAAATAGACAAGAATGTAGGGAGCAAGAGAGAAGAGATTCTTATTTCTTCCATATATTCACGTGTGTACAGTGTGATGCCCAAACCCTCTATTTATAGGATGATATAGGCAATACAAAGGGATGTCATGAACATGGTATTAACTATTGAGAACATGGGGGAAGATCATGGAGGTGTGGGAGTTACATCCATAATGGTAAGAAGTAGTGGGAGGTTAATGGAGAAGAGTAGTGGGTGTTACTCCCTTAGGAGTTATGGACATCCACCATAATCAAATATTTCATAACACTCTCCCTTGGATGTCCAAAGATAATGTGCCTCGTTAAAACCTTACCAAGAAAAAACCCTGTGGGAAAAAAGTTTAGTGAAGGAAAAAGAGTGCACATATCTTGTAATACGCATTACTTGCTGCCTCGTTAAAAACCTTGCCAGGAAAACCCAGTGGGATAAAATCTGTGCGAAGGGAAAAAGAGTGCAGCACGTGCTATACTCCCCCTGACAAAAATATCACTTGATATCTCAAATACGATATTCCAATCATGTATAACAACTTCTCAATTGCTGAGGTTGGCAATGCCTTGTGAAGAAGTTTGCCAAATTATCACTTGAACAAATTTGTTGAACATCAATCATGTCTGAAATAGAACTTTAGTGAAATACGTTTTATTTTGTCTCCTTCGATAGTCCTTCTTTCAATTGAGCTATGCATGCAGAATCATCTTCAATGTAATTGAAATCTTGTTAATTTGGCATTACGATCACAGCCAAATAGATTATTGAACAACGAACCATGCCCTGCATTTGTATAACCAACATAACCTTTACAATATTTGTTAGAATAAACAAATCTATATCAAGGACTTCTTTTGCAATATAATCATAATAGTATTCCAGTATCTTTATATAGGAATTAAAGTATATCTCGCTAGCATATTGTTATACTCGTGGTTCTAGCAAGATACATAGTGCACCAATAAATCATGTACATCATGATTGCTCTAATCCACATAAGGATTTGCTGAAACTTTATTTAATGAATTTCTTGGGAACCTTAATATGCTTTAGAACAGTTTAAATCCTTCAATGATTTTTATATACGCATATCAAATTTATCAGGTATTGCCAGACTAAAATCTGAAAGCAATTGTACCCACCACAAGGGAACATGTTTCCATATAATCAATGTTAGGACATTTACGTAAAATCTTGTGTCACCCCACTGACTTTATACTTTCAGGTGTTGGGACTATCAGTCCAAAACTTCACGTTTTCCAAGTGAAGTCAATCTTAATTGCGTATTTTTCATTGACCAATCATATATCTGTCCAAATTTCATGACACATTTGAGCTCAAGATCCTCGTCAATATTAATAATATTGAACGCTACATTATATCAACAATATCATCGAGGATCATTTTACATCGGTTCCATCATCACTCAATAAAGACATAACTTATCGAGATCTCATTATTTTCAGGTACCTGAGCCTCTCCCATGAGGTCTTATGAAGTGTTATGTCATGGTGCTCTTATATAGCACTTGCCTCCTTATTATGACCATCTTGAACATTTGCTCCTCTCCTTCGTCAAGGAGTTTTATCTTTGGAACCGATTAGTCTATTGCGCTTCATGCGTTCCATAGACTATGTCCATCATGGACTTTATTCTATTTGGAGCATTAGTAGCTGAAATATGACATTTAGTTTGGGTCAGCAAATGTGAATGAATATTTTGCAAATGAATTATCTTGTACGAGGATCTAAGCGTACTCATAATAATTCATTCCATGTATTACTTTTTTCAGCTGCTCATTTTCTCCCCTTAATGTTGGGATCACCAACACATATCCCCAACCTTCTATGGGGACCAATCTTTGTACATTGTGGTGGCGCAATTAAATCATATAGTACATCCATATTTCTAGATGAAAATATTTGGTTCCTGACCCTGAACCAATTGTGATAGGGAGAATTTATCATAATTTGTTGGCTAGATGCGTACAAGTGATGTTGTATATTAAATAATATACCTCATACCAAATTTTGATTTGGGAGTTTTATTCTCATAACCAATGGTTTAGCTTAATTGGAGGCATACAATTTCTGCTAAACCAACTTTGATTAAACCAGCATTATCAAAATAAATTATCATAATTTATATTCTGGAACTGTGTTCTAATAACTTGAGCAAGCAACCTTACAAAAGCCAAACTGCGAGTTGACAACAAACGCACATGTGACCATACAATAAATGCATCTTTTAAAACCATATAATAGTAAACGGTCCACATGGCAGGTGACTGGGCCCATATATATATATCACCTTTTATTCGTTCCAGTTTTTAATGGATTCAATCCCAACATTGACTGGTATATCGTGAGAATAAGCAGCACAAGAGAATTCTTGAAGAATCTTCTATTTCTTCAATATATACCAATGTGAATTCTCAATTAATTTTCGCATCATAATTGAACCAGGATGGCCAACCGGTCGTGCCAATTAATATTTATTTCAGTAAATATTTAATTCACTATGGCATGTGATTTCATCACCATGCTTATACATCTGGAGTACAAATAGAAGAAAAATCGGGTAACCTTTCATAGTTACCCGGTATGATTATAGTAATATGAAGATATTCAATCTTCCTTTCATTTATAGTTTCAATATGCCAACCACTTTGGCTAATATATTTGAAACTCAAAAAGTTCTTTTTTGAGACTTACTACCACCAATGCCATTAATAATTTTATTTATTCGGGTAGTAATAAATTCGCTCTTTCGGAGCTCTCAATAATTTTATACTACAAGATCCTTTATACCACCATCCAAGTGGTGAATTTTTTCTCCACAGAAAAAATTATCTTATCATTGTCACAATCAAAAACATTATAGACAAGACTTATTTCTTGCTTTACTTTTGCCTTTAATAACTTTTTATAGGCATGGTAAAATATTTTTGGCGTACCACGTGTACGCGACCAATGACATATTCATGTAACCATATTGTAATATTCATTATCTTTATTTCTCTCAAACCTCCCTTAGAGGTGAGTTGTGGTATTTATCCAACCATGCATAAGCACATTCTTATGCATAATTTTTATCACATATATATTTCAACATTTACTTTCAGGAATGAGCCTGCATTTACAATGCTTATCACAAGTCACATTTTCAACGAATGGACTATAATCATATGAACGTGTCTCGTATTAACAGACCACATTGATACATATTCCTTCACCTTTGAAAGATCATTTTGAGAACCCTTATCGTTCTCCTTTTTACAATTACCATAATGATGACTGTTATTATTTGATCTTTGGCACGCTCATGTTCATTGGTCAACCACTTGCCTTTATTTAGACTAATTATGGATCGTATCACATTCACTTCAAGAATGAAGCAAATCAGGTGGGACAAACTTTATGCTTTTTCATGAAAAATATATTATTTTTCTTTAGTCATCATTATATCATCAATATGGTGCATTGGGACTCAAACCCAATGCCTTATCCATATAAAGGCATGTTAGGACATAATGCATTGGGACTCGAACCCAACGACTTATTATCATGGTGCACTAGGACTTAAACCCAGTGTCTTACCCTCAAGGTACGATGAGACTTGAACCCACCGTCTTACTCTAAATCAATAGCATAGTAGATCAAAATACAATTGAGGCTCATCCTCGGTCCTCTAAATCACATACCCACAGGGCCACATACAATGGTTATGCATAAAACCATTCTGTTATAACAATTTTATAAACATTAGTACTTCATCAATTTATGAACTCATCGCATGTAATTTTGACTTCTTTAAGATATAAATGAGATAAACTATTTCTTACAGACTCTGAAAAAATTTAGATTACAGTATATTATATTAAAAATAACAAAAATATGTAAGTTATACAATTCATGAGTACTTCAAAAGTGTGAGAACAATTTTATCGGTACTAATAACTCAAACTTTGTTACTATTCTCAATATCAATTACAACAAAGACTAAGCACACAAATATTTCCCTTTTCTTTTTCCTTTTTTTCTTTCTCTTTCTTCTTTTTCAACAGACCCATGTAGGCTTTTTCTTTTGTGTCACCTTTTTTCTTTTTACTTTTTCTTTTAAAAAAAAAGAGAAGTTTCTTTTCTATCCCACCTTGTACTTTAATGTCACACCTCTATCCATCTTCTACTCCATCACCATCATCATTTTCTTCCCGGAATAACATTGATAGGTGCATTGTACCAAACACTAAAAGTTCGTTTGGTACGAGGGATAAGGGATAGTTAATCTCGAGATTAAATTTGAGATGAATTTATATCACGTTTGGTTGGATAAAATTGCAGTATAACTAATTCCGAGATTAGTTATTCCGGGATTGTAGTATTTTTATTTATCCATATGAAAAGGTGGGGTAACAATCCCGGGATAACTAATATAGGGATAATTAATCCTGGGATAACTTGTTTCCTGACAAAGAGTGTGATACTTGGCCAAAAGCATGTGTGACTTCATTGAAGAGAA